AAACAGTTTTCCACTTATTGTGTTATCGGTGCTGCACATATGCTGAAAAAAGTGAAAAAACAGCATAAATTCCATAAAATTGACCCAATAGCTCTGAATTTCGAACTTGACCTGCGTATTATAAATATTCATCAGTTCGCAGGTTTCAAGCCAAAAGGTAAAACGTTTTCCACTTATTGTGTTATCGGTGTTGCATATATGCTGAAACTTCCATAAAATTGACCCGATAGCTCTGATTTTCGAACTTGACCTGCATATTATGAATATTCATCAGTTTTATAAGTTTCAAGCCAAAAAGTAAAAAGGTTTTTCACTTATCGTGTTATTGGTGTTATAATAATGCCAAAAAAAGTGAAAAAACAGCATAACTTCTCTAAAAAACATGCTGATTTTCGAACTTGACCTGCGTATTATGAATATTCATCAGTTCTGTAAATTTGAATACAAAATGTACAACTGTATTCCACTTATCGTGTTATCGCTGAGTGCACGGCAACGACGGCGACGGCGACGACAGATGCAGGTGACGGCTATATGTACAGACACGTCTGTGTCTGTACATAAAAATCAATCGATATCAAGGTTGCCTTACGCCAAAGTTAAGACCGTAAGTTAATGATAATCGTATTTGAGATATCATGCTTTGAAAAAATAAACATTGAACACATTTCTTTAATTTGTGGAGGTTATTACTAGCGACGTTTGAATTTTTGATAAACTTTGACCATTAAAGCTGACCATTAAAATCGATGGGTCAAAAGTTCGGAACTGTGACAAGTACCGGTATTACTATTATCACTTAAATTAGCCCGTGATCTTTGAAATAATATGCCCATCTACTAATATGCTAGCTAACATTTTGAGTGACATGTAAGATGTACGTAAAATATACGTAAGTCGGAATTGTCCCTTAACTTACTAATTTTCACACAATTCTTTTGTCCTCTAAAGGGGCGTACGTAAGACAACTTAATCGTTTTTGTCGTTAGCGTATCCGTAATGTCACTTTCTCCGCACACAGAAACGATAGGCAAAATATAACAAAGAGTCGTGACATAAATACTTGCTGTAAATTCTCTTGCATTCTTCTACGCTTATTTCATCTACTGTTATAGGTCACCGAAGAAAAAGTAATACTTACAAAACGTGCATTTGCTTCTACGCCTCATAAAAGTTCCACGTTGCGACCGCACCACACATTCTTATTGCGTCTTCATCCTGCTGTGTCCTACTTCCAACTGAGCATGCGAGAAGACAGCTCACACTACGGTGAGCAACTTATTGTTATGCAAATTACAGACAGGTATGGCCCATTTTAGGTGAGGGGCTGTGGTTGAAACTGTTCACAAATGTTCACGGTCAATATTACAGGGACGAATTTAGGGGGTGTCAGGGGGTCCGGACCCTCCCCTTCGATTTCTGATTTACAAAAGTCGTACCAAAAACGCCTAGCTGAATCATGGTTCTAAATGCGCGCGATTTGTCCTCTTAAGCACTAAATTTTTGAGGCCCTAGAGCGTGACCTGAACCTAACGCCATTGGGGTGAACCGGACCCCTCCCCCTTTAAAAAAATCCAGGATCCACCCCTGATGTACATTTGGCTGAGGCCCACTTGTTGTCAAAATACACCACTTTATTCCACAAATATTGCGCATGCATCTTCCATCATGCATACTTTCATATTTCATATTTCTTCGATACATTACTGTCACAAAACTCAACACCAGGGAAATAAGGTGAATTTTGATATTTTATCCATTAATAGGTATACCCCCCCCCCTTAAAAAAAGAACTTGTTTTAATATCGATTACAACATGCTGTTTCAGTGAATGAGTCGTAAAACAATTGATGGAATTCTTTGCTTAGCCTTAGAAAACATTTTGATATTATAAGAAACGTTTTTGGGGAGGGGGGCGTGGGCGAGATGTAGTTAATGCCTGCTTACCGGTATAACACATTATCTACTGGGCTGTACGTTACTACACTATAATAAAGTTAAATTTGTTACGATCTGCAACTTTTGTTCATCTATATCGCAAGACGAAGTTAACGCCAGAGCTAAATAGTAACCCATAATCCTTATTAACCATTATTTAATCGTATCAAAACTTTTGATATGCAACATTCATTAATGTCATAATTTTGGCGATCATTTAAAACCCTATTTGTACAAAGTTAGATAGCATTAGTTAAGCAACCATTGCGAAAAACGATTCCTTTTTAAGTGAGACAAGACATGCACCCTCCTCACACTAAATAAGTCACTTTTATGAATGCATTATGCCACAAGGCAAAGGAGTTAGATAGGGTCTCTTATATCTCTTTTAAGTTGCCTTTAGAACTCATTAAAAAAGGAGCGTTGCCAAACTGCGACGAAGATCAATCCAAGCATAACCTAGACCAGAATTATTTACAAAATAGTTCGGCAGTGGGGTTAAACATCATGCTACTAACTAATTGCACACTATTTATTTATATTTATTCAACATATAACGCTTTTATTTATTCATTTATATATTTACCTGTGCAATTGTACAATATGTACTCTAACAATATGTAGCTTGATAATAACATGTATATAAAAACCCACTGTTGTGAGCGGTTGACTCGGCAATGGGATGATGGTTTCGGTACATTTTTAAAAAAATATTTACTCTCTAAATCAAACTGTATCATGTATTTATTCTTCTATTTATTTATGTAATTGTAATTTCATCATTATTATATGTAGCTTGATAATACCATTTACACTATGGTCTACATTAATGAAGTTCTTCTCAGGTAAACATTTTCTTTTACTTTTTCAACAGTGCTTCCATTTATTGTGAACTTCAGATGATATTTTATTTATTTATTTATTTACTTATTTATTTTTGAAGATCATAATAACTAAAAATCTTATATAACATTAACCACCAATTTCCATTTTGTGCAATAATCATCTAGTTAGTTCAGTAAACTTCAGAGACCCTTGCTAGATGATGACAGTGGGATAAGGTCATCAGTGCACGGGATGTGACTTAATCCATTTACTTTTATAGTATGCTAACCCCAAAGCCACTGTCCCCTGAGACAGGCATGGCATCCTCATCTCTTTTTTTTTTTTTTTTTTTTTCAAAGATAAAAGATTAAAAACCACTCCCTTTACTCTTTGGATTCAGTTAAGAATTTTTTCAACCCCTCCTCGAACAAATCAGCTCATGTCCTACCCAATGAAGCTACCCATTGTATTTTGTTTGTCACTGTATAATACGACTGTAATTCCTAACAAATTACCCACTAAATACAGTATTTTTTCTTATATAGTTTGCAATTTCAAGTTTTTTTTTGCTAAGACCCAATATTCACTCAGGTAGTTTTGTGCAGCAGGTTCATGTTCCAAGGTTTAAGTCTAGAAAAAGAATAAGAGGGACTGTAAGAGCCAAAATGATATACAAGCATCAGAATATCATCTGGAGAAAACAAACAGATAAACAGATAATTGCTTAGTACAGTTGATGTACTGAGTATAGTCCTACAGCTAGAAGAAAACTCTTGCACTTAGTATTTGCAGCAGCAGTTAGTTACAGTTATTAAATGTGCAATGCAAAAAGAAACATCCTCACAAACATCAGTCACAAACACAGAATTTAGTCCAATTTCTTTATTAACCAGTATTTTTCATTCTGAAATTTGATCAGAATTTTGTAACCCTTTAGGCTTCAGCTACTGCAGTGTAGTGAATAGTGTGCACTGTTAAAAAATTACTACCTAAGTTTCATCATAAAATTATCCTTCTCAGTTCACATTTTCTTGCTCATAACCCCATCAAAATGCTACCTCATGTAATATTATTGATACAAAGGTGGTAATTTGCCCATAAATATACTTCATAAACATCATTTATTTCACAGCCAATTTACTAGAAACTACCCAGCAGGCATAGTTGCATTGGATCAATGTTGAAAACAGGTTGATACAATGAATTGCTGTTGATCTACCTAAATTCAACGTAAAATCAACGTTGATCCAGCCATGTCGAAACACCATCATAATGTGACGTTGACTCAATGTTGTATTTTGGTCATTGACACAACCTTGCAGACATGGATTATATTTTAAAATATTAATTGTTGAAAACGTGATACTTTGTTTATCAATACTGTAACTAACTTATCAACGTTATGGTTCAATGTTGTTTCAATGTTAAAACAACATATTTTGCCCGCTGGGTACTTGTCTAAATAAAAGTTTCAAACAATACTGAAATACTGACACAAAACCAAAGTAGTAATAATAAATAAATAAATAAATAAATGAATGCCCAGTACTAAATTTGGAAGTATAATTATTATGATACCATTACATGGATTGCACAGCCATGCTTCATTTGATATGTGGAATAAAAAATATGATGAGACATTTTTTTAGTGGATTCAAAGCTATCTGGTTCCTTTTTAATCTACAATTTCAAGGAACTTGTGCTAAAATGAAAATATATAAAGCAAATTTTCCTGATTTTTGAAAATTATGCTTCTTGTGCTTACTGGCCATTCTTTGTTTCACCCATAAGACTAAGTTAACAGTAGGAAAGAATTGTATACGTAGGCAAGTAGGTATACTGACACCACAATGAGTCTCAGAGGTCACTTTTTCCAGTTTTAACCCTTAATTTCAAAAAAAAAAAAAAAAAATTATTTACCTTTTAATACACTATATACATTTTATTTTCACATCTTAAACTTCAGGATTTTATATTATCGTTACTAATTTTTTATAACCACTTTTTAGAGCTCTGATATATATTTTGCTGATATATATATTAGCTGAAAAAATATAATAATAATTATTATTACTAGAAATGGCAGACAGCTTGGTAACAGATAATTAAGTCAGTTTCCAGGGACTTCTAATACTCAGGGTGATTGAAACACTCTCCAAATATCCTCTTTTTGATATCTAGATGGAGAGACCTGCAACCTACTGTGCCTTGTGTTTTGAGTCATATAAACAGTCAATTTAACGTGACCTTCCGTATGCCCACTGGTCCATATCACCCTTGAATATCACCTTCACCGGGTCTGTAGCTGCAGAGAACTTCTGTACCATGTCCTAGAATATTGATGTTAGGAAAACATGTTCTAAGAAACATAATTATTATATATTATGATTATATAATGTCGTATGTATATGGGGGAATAGCTACTGGGATAACTTTTAAAGACATTTACAGAAACTCCCCCCCCCCCCCCCACAAAAAAAAAAAAAAAAAATCAATATGATCATAACTCTCTCTCTCTCTCTCTCTCTCTCTCTCTCTATCTCTGAGAGAAGCAATTTTTATCTTCAAAAATTCTCTTCACTTTTTCATTACCCTTAAACAAAACAACTTCTTAAAGGGAATTTTCTTTACAGCCTACAATAGCCTTATCTGGGTCTAACCACAAAACCAGAAGATTTTGACCCACGTGCATTCATGCACACACGCACACACACACACACACTAGCATACGCGCACACACACACTAATAGTAGGGTATTAAAAATATCTTCACCTCTGGCAAGGTCACTCTCTGGCAATTCTCTACCACCTGCTGAGGGTTAGAAGCTCCAACAATGACTGACTTCACACATGGCTGCTGCAGTAACCATGACAATGATGCTGTTGCCATGGGAATGTTGGCATTGGCACACACCTCGCGGATTTCACTGATGGCCTAGAGCATTGGAAACATGTTAATGTGTATATTCTTTTATGTTTCATATGCACAATTTTTTTATCACATATGCATCTGATATTTCTATAATTTATGCTAGCTCAGGTTTGATATGGCTCAACAATTTTCAACCGTGAAATATGGGCTGTTGGAACCACTGGAACCTATTTGTTTCTCGTTTCAATATGGGACAATGATCGAAAAAGCTCTTCAGTTTGAAATGTGTTACATGACTGTACAGTGTTGTGAATAATAATAACCTATATTTTCTAAAATATACATAACATCTATAATAATATTCAAGAAAGAGAATGACATGCTTTTTGTATTTTCTACAGTTTATCTGTTAACTGTTTTATAATTAACTGCTGAAGCCGGTTAAACTTACTGAATGCACTTTTTTGTTCAGTGAGAAAAGAAAACATTTTATTTTCAACTTCATCAGATACCTCATCAGATACCTAGCATTGTAATAAAATTTATTCAGATCCTAAATAAATTATAATTTGACAAAGCAAAGTATAAAAATTTTGTTACTATTATCAATATGCATCACTCATGCAGTCACACAAATTTTGATTAATTTTGTCTGAAATTGTCAAGACTTTCGATGAAAGGAAATGTTATCACAGATTGCAATTGGCTTGATATAATTGAAAACCTTACATCAGGCTTTATTCAGCTAATGTCTGCACTTGTTTAACTCTGCCTGTCTCTGTAATGAACTTTTTAGTCAATAGTCCCATATATCAGGACAGACAATCAAAGGAAAACATGCTTGTGGGACAATACTTTTATGATCTTTTTAACTGTCTTCTACATAAGCATGTAATGCTTTTATGTAGGCCTATTTCATTTTATTCCATCTCATTCTAACTTATTTAATTAATTTGTTTTTTTTTTATTCATCTCTTGTTAAATAAATAAAACATCAAATATCATACCTGAAACACCTCTTTCTCAGCTCCATCATGGCCGTGGCGAGAAAGGGGGGTACTTGAAAAGAAATAGTGTTAAAGTGTAAGTTTGGTCAAACAAGGACTTATGCCCATATTATAGTTTACACTTTATTCAGCAAATTCTTTGTTATAGAAGCACATGATAACATTTGAACAACAACATAAATGTATTTAAATGAGGGGTCAAGAGTGACCCATGGAGCCTGTCGCTTGGAGGATTGAAATATCCCGCAATGCAGTTCGCCATGATGAAATCAAGACTCAACTCTGCTGCTAAATCTCTTGTATTGCAGGTCGGGAACCAATACAGCTAGGCAACCTCTCTCAAACTGTAAGTCGGGCAAGAGAAAGTCCAGAGAACGGCCATGTTTTCATGTGCAGAATTGTAAATTATACTTGATACTGGAAAGCTATAGCAAGATGTGATTGTTTGATATAGTCTCTATTGCAATTTCTGGTTGTCACTGGCATGAAATTTGGAAAAGTGTTATCAGGCTGTGGTTAGAGACACGTAATAAATAGTGCTTGGCCCAGTAAAAAAAAATCTTATCAATAATGTAAGATCATCTCAAGCAATTTTATCTCCCTTATTTTTAAATAAATAACATATTAAAAACTGGGTAGTAGAAAAACTGAAATAAACACAGCCTGAAAATTTAGCTCAAAAATATTGACTACTAAAAATAATGTGCTACACAATGGCCCATATATTTTATACCTGTCTTTATGAAATAACTTCCCTCGCCTTCTTCCCTCAGGGACATCAGACGGCTTCTGGAACTTCCCTGTAAGTAGTCCCTGCTGAAGTGGTGAGTAGGGGAGGAGGGATATGCCTTTCTCCTGGCAGAGAGGAAGTAGTTCCTCCTCAATGGACCTCCACAGAAGATTGTAGCACACCTTTAAATATCATTACATTATAAGAAAGTTAATATAATGAATAAGAAAGTTAATATATGAAGTTAATATAATGAATAAATAAGCCAAGTCACTTTAGGGCATATAGTTTTTAAAACATTTAATTTTCAGACTTTGAACTAAAAAAAGGGTTTACAGATTGCTATTCTGGGATCAGTTCTAATTATGTAATACCTTGGTAATTAATGGAAATATAAGTAAAATTTCCATGCGTGAAAATTGAAATTTTGCAATATGATGGTGTATAATGCTCATTATGCACCTTTTAAGAAATAGCCATATCTTAAATGCTCTGAATTAAGGGTCTAGGGGTACCACACCTGGTTAGAGATGGGCTGTCCTCCTGCCTCAAGAAAACCTCGCAGATCATTGGGTCCAAAGTTGCAGACACCATAGTATCTTATTCTCCCCTTGGCTTGTTGTCTCTTAAGCTCGGCAACAGTTTCGTTCACATCTGCCATAATTGTTGGCCAGTGGATCTGGAAAGAGAGCAAAAAAAAAAAAAAAAAATATATATATATATATATATATATATATATATATATATATATATATATATATATATATAATTAAAATTAATAAAGAAATAAAAAAACAAGAGACACGTATCAGACCCCGACTCCCAAGTTTCACAGGCATAACCAGAAGGTATGCCTGATTATTTGAAACTCAGAGCCAGGGTTGATACATGTCTCTTGTTTTTTTTTGTTTATTTATTAATTTGAATTGTGCATAAATGCTCTGCACAGTTGAGCACACTGTACCACACACACATGCTTGATATATATATATATATATATATATATATATATATATATATATATATATATATATCCATGCAGTTCCTGCCATCAAGCTTGCTACAGTGGTAGTAATAATTTTGTTTCTGTTGTACACCGGTGTAACAACGTTCGAAATGTTTTAATTCCTATCTGGTGAATAGAAGGGGGCGGACAAACAATGGAGGGCCGTATAAATACCTTCAAAATTCGAACGCACAAACACAATAGCTTAGGTGGAATAACACAATACTTAAGACGAGTGAACCCCATGACGCCGATTTCTGTGGTCCAGCGCGACAAGACAATCTGCTGTAACTAGGTGTTATTAACAGCAGTATACATCAGCCAGAAGGTCCCCATTGTTTGTTGCGACGATAGGATTAAAGCTTTAAGAGGTTAGAACCCATGCTAACGCATGCCACGCTTAGCGAACTGTCCTTTTGTTCACTAGTATGGCACGCGCAGCTGATTATGTTTTTAGTGTTGCTTACAAACTGCTAAATAAATTTGTAATCAGTTATTTCATCCAATATGAAATTTCCGCAGTCAAAAATTGAACTAAGTATTGTTTGTTTGATTGACATGAATGAGCGTCAGCATCAATCTGTCTCAAAATATTCTTATTGCATTAATTTATAAATGTATAACTTATTTATAAACGTACTGCATTCAAGTATTTATAAAACATGAATGATAATGAATGAGGAATAAGGAAAGAATATATTACTTATACTATACTTATATTATAATATTGAAATTAAATGAGGTGCATTGACAGAGGCGCAAGGACAATCTAACTCCAACGTGCAACCGGGGAAAGTCTGACTGTGTGATCATACAATATATGAAAGTACGGTGTAAATCATCAGTTGTAGAGGAGGGGGTCTTACTATAGCTCGCTATCTATTGTTAAACGCGACTGCTATTATCTCTCGAACAGGCTTAAACCATGCCTATACAATTACTGTGATCATCGTCACTGTTTAGCTACTCGCCTATAATGCGTGCTGAACGACAGACAACTTATAAATATTATCTGTGTTACTGTGTAAACGAACACATTTAGTTAAATTATAATGAAGTCGGTGATTTAATCCATCCAACATATCTATATTTGTTCTTTCAAAACCAGTGTCAGGTTAACGCCAAATCAAGCCTTGCAGACTGGTTTTGTTTAAACTGTCGTATATTAAGTTAAGCTAAGTAAAGCCTGTTTTTACTTCACAGTGTTCATCCCAGCTATAAAACTGCATGAAAGATAACAAGACTCCGTAGCGAATTAAGTTTCACAATGCCCTGTGCTTTAGGTTTCCAGGAGTTCCGTGTAACACAATAATATCGAACAGTATGGCCTGAGAGTAATACAAATGTGAGGCCGTGCATGAAAAATTTTAAAAATTAGAAATTCAGGAATTTAAACATTTCACAAAAATCGCATCTAATTGTTTAGATTAACCTCTACTTTTATCGATCTCATCGCCTAGTCTCAACCACCTAAAAGAAATATAGTGCACTTGAGGAAAAGTAACACATTTACTTCAATATTAATCGCGAACAATATCAACAGCGACTCAAGACCGTTGCCTGTCTTTCACACTTTTACACAAACACACGAAGGTTTAATAAAGGGAGTCACGGCGCGATATCTATCTCTTTCCTTCGAACAAGCAAAGGGCTGACCCGAAGTAAGCTTTCTAAACTAATTTCCCTTTTTATTGTATATTGTAATTATTCCACTTGCTCGCCTCCATTGTATTGTAAAAGTGACAAAGAATGTGTTGTGTTCACACACAAGTTGAAAGAACTTTGCATAACTCCTTTGCCTTGTTGCATAATGTCTTTCTCAAGGTTATAATCAGTGTGAAGAGGGTGTCTTGCCTCACTGATAAAGGGAGTTGTTCTTCGTACTGGTTGTTGCTTAACTTATGCTAACCTACTCTGTACAAATATGGTTTCAATAAATCGCCAAAATTATGACATTAATGAACATTGTGTATCAAACGTTAAGTGATCGCTATCTCGGCTCCTTTTTCTTTGACAGCAACATAAAAAGTGTTTAGGGAGAAAGTCACACAAAGACCCGACGTTGTTTTGTCTTCAGCATTTCCTCTTCCTTGTTTACTGCAATTACTATTGTCAATTAATGAAATCGAGAAAGCAATTAAGTGACGGCACATTGAATATAGTCACTAGGTGCATTTCGCTGAGTGTTTACAAAATCTAGTGATACATTTTTATCGCCACGCGACGGTTCTAGTCTGATTGTTTAGGGGGGACAGTTAGTGGTATTTGTATGTGTAGTTGGATAAAATAAAATAGTCAAGAATGGTGTACGTACAGGTTTGAGAAGTTAAACATGAAAAAAACATTAGGGAAAAAACGAAATAGAATGTTTGGAAACTTAAACAGTTACTCTGGTGGCTTTGCGTCATGGCTATGAATCTGACATCGAAGTTAGGCCAAAATATTAGTAAATTCAGAATTATTAGCTAAAATGTAAATTGCCCTAATTTGTCAGATAACCAAAAATGCCAGTGATCCAAGCGGAGGGTACGCTTTCCTGCAGGTAGCGGCGACGAACAGCTGCGATATTTTTATGAACAGTGAACCCTTTTTAGTCACGAAAAGCCCCCTTTTCAACAGGCATGTTTTATTAATAACTTCATGTCACAAAGTAAATTTATACAGGCAAAACTTTATTCAAGGAAATAGTTTCACGAAATGAACGAGAGTAAAATATAAGTCGGCACAAATATAAGTCATAAAACAATGAGTCTGTATTTAAAGTATAATCCCTCCTGTTATGGGCCATCTCGGATTATAATGGCATACCTTGATGCAAAACAGTCTATCGTTTCTTCCACCGCGAGTCCCTTTATTTAATGTATTGTATTACTCATTACCCATTTCATTTGACACTCTCTCTTTTTCTCTCCCTTCCCCTTTCTCTTATTAGAAGGAGGGTAAATAATTAAGCACTCAAAATCTGCATCACCAATCTTCAGATAAAAATAATTCAACGAACCAGTGGGCTGATGCACAACATCCGACCCAGCAGAATGAATCAAATAACAGCTAGCACAAATTTATATGCAGATAGCTATAGTGTCACTACATACATAATCAGCTGCACGCGCGAAGCTGTTGAACAAAAGGATAGTTCACTACGGGAGACCGTTTGTTTACATAAGTACTCTAAGGAGGCATGGCTACCCAGGCGACCAGGGGATTAGGCTAGTTACTATGTGCCGTCAACAATCGTTTAGCAATCCTATCATTATACACTCCCTCTATTGTATTTTCCACCGCATTAATCGCAGTGTAATCTTCAAATGGTCCACGGGGTAAATATACACATTCTTAATCCTAGTACGGTATACTGATATGATAGAAAGCTCAGACTGCAAGAGGTGTANTAGTACGGTACCTTGATGCAAAACAGTCTATCGTTTCTTCCACCGCGAGTCCCTTTATTTAATGTAATGTATTACTCATTACCAGTTTCATTTGACACTCTCTCTTTTTATCTCCCTTCCCCTTTCTCTTGTTAGAAGGAGGGTAAATAATTAAGCATTCAAAATCTGTACCACCAATCTTCAGAAAAACATAAGTCAACGAACCAGTGTGCTGATCCACAACATCCGACACAGCAGAATGAATCAAATAACAGCTAACACAAATTTATATGCAGTTAGCTATAGTGTCACTACATACATAATCAGCTGCACGCGCGAAGCTGTTGAACAAAAGGATAGCTCACTACGGGAGACCGTTTGTTTACATAAGTACTCTAAGGGGGCGTGGCTACCCAGGCGACCAGGGGATTAGGCTAGTTACTATATGCCGTCAACAATCGTTTAGCGACCCTACCATTATACACTCTCTCTATTGTATTTTCCACCGCATTAATCGCAGTGTAATCTTCAAATGGTCCACGGGGTAAATGTACACATTCTTAATCCTAGTACGGTATATATATATATATATATATATATATATATATATATATATTATAATATCCATCGTTTGGTATATATGTATATATATATTATTATATATATCGCTTTCCTACTATTTTTGGGGTGCAAAAGTCATTTTTGATATTGTTTTGGTGATAGAAGGTGATTTGAAGGGACAAAGAGGGTGTTTTAAGTGCTTACCAAGATATGTGTGAATGCTGTAAAACCATGGGTATTGATAACCTGTATTCAAATATATCTCAATGCGATTTTTTGTTATATACCAGCGATATTGGACTTTATTATGAGCAAAATAATAATAATAATAAATAAATAAAAATGAAAAAAAATGTTTTACCATTATGGAAGCCATTGGTGGCCGTTTTATCCCTCAAATCAAAGATGGCCGCCAAAAACCATTTTAAAATTGGGCATAATTCGCTATTTGAAACTATATGCATTACATCTTTGTTAATGAGTAATACGTCGTTTTATATTATTTTCTGGTGCAGAATACAGTATCAGTCAGGTTTCATGAAATGTGTGCCTCAAATCCAAGATGGCCGCCATCCGCCATTTTGAAACGTGAACCAAAAAGCCACATGTACATTTATGTCCCAGTCACTAGGGCTTGCATTTGAAATATAGTCCAGAATATTTGAAGGATGAAACAAATTAATATGTGTCGTCTTATTATAAGACGTGTCGTCTATGGAACTTGGTTAGTTGTGTTGATGC